TATGTACACAGCCAGCTCCATAAAGGCATAGTTTGACCAGTTTGGTGTGAAGGAACCTGGTGTCCTACACAGAGCCCTGTGAATACTCAACCCTACTGAATACCTTTGGGATGAATTGGTAGTCAGGTCTTCTCATCCAACATCTCTATAAAGACATGACTTGACCAGTTTGGTTTGGGGGAACTTGAGTCTCCTGCAACAGAGCCCTGACCTCATCCTTACTGAAAACCTTTGAGATGAATTGGTAGCCAGGTCTTCTCAACCAACATCTCCATAAAGACATGGTTTGACTGGTTTGGTGTCAAGGAACTTGAGTCTCCTGTACAGAGACCTGACCTAAAATCTACTGAATACCTTTGGGATGAATTGGTAGTCGGGTCTTCTCATCCAGCATCTCTATAAAGACTAGGCTTGACTAGTTTGGTGTGGAAAAACTTGAGTCTCCTGCAACATAGTCCTGACCTCATCCTCACTGAACACCTTTGGGAGGGATTGGTAGCCAGGTCCTCTCCACCAACATCTCCATAAAGACATGGTTTGACCAGTTTGGTGTGGAGGAACTTAAGTGTTCTGCACAGGGCCCTGGTCTCAACCCTACTAAACACTATTGGGATGAATTGCTAGCCAGGTCTTCTCATCCAGCATCTCTATAAAGACATGGTTTGACTAGTTTGGTGTGGAGAAACTTGAGTCTCCTGCAACAGAGCCCTGACCTTATTCTCACTGAACACCTTTGTAAAGGATTGGTAGCCAGGTCTTCTTCACCAACATCTCTATAAAGACATGGTTTGAGCAGTTTGGTGCGGAGGAACTTCACTGTCCTGCACAGAGCCCTGATCTCAACCCTACTGAAACACCTTTGGGATGAATTGGTAGCCAGGTCTTCTCCACCAAGTCCTGATCTCCATAAAGACATGCCAGTTTGACCAGATTTTGACCAGTGGTGTGGAGGAACTCAAGTTTCCTGCACAGAGCCCTGGCATAACCCTAGTCCTGACCTTCAACCCTACCATGAACACCTTTGGGATGAATTTTCCGGAACATCAACCCTACTGAACACCAGGTCTTCTCATCCAGCATCCAGCATCTCTATAAAGACATGGTTTGACCAGTTTGGTGTGGAGGAACTTGAGTGTCCTGCACAGAGCCCTGACCATAACCCTACTGAACACCTTTGGGATGAATTGGAATGAGCCTGGTCTTCTCATCCAACATCCATCCAGATAAAAACATGGTTTGACCAGGGATTGATGTCTTCTCATCCAGCATCTCTATAAAGAACTTGAGGAACTTGAGTGTCCTGCATAGAGCCCTGACCATTGAACCGAGTGTCCTGCATAGAACCATAACCGTACTGAATAACTTTGAGATGAATTGCTATACAGGTCTTCTCATCCAGCCTGATTTCATAAATGGGCACAGACACCCTCCGAAATGTAAAAAAATGATATACTTTTGACTGATTTATAGTCGTAGTGACACATTCCCAATACTCATCTATGGAAGCCATGTTCTTCTAAGAATCGTAGTTCAGAAGTACCAGAAATCACAAGTACGTCAATAGAAATTAACATCATCATCTAAATAATCCCTTAAAATATCTGTTTTATTCCCATTGACAACATTAAAAGCCCATTTCACAAAATCACATGACATCGCTCATTTCTCTATTTCTCGTACATACAAATGTCTCTTGAAGACAATAACCTTCTTCAACCTCCAAACCTATTCGGCTCTCATATCTACTTATTGGTACCAAATATTTCATTATCTTTTCATTCTCTAGCCGGCACTTATGGAGGGATGAAACCCATTCTTAACACGTTTCCAGGACATTAAATCTGCTTCTTCAGGAGAATCAGGTGGTAGTTGATCTTCAATACTACATCAACATAATTTATCTATATATACAATATGAACGGACGTACCAATAACTTGTATCAATAACATACCTTAATCCCACTTACTCTATTGATTTTACATTTAGCCATTCAGAGACCCAATCCAATCTCACCTCATGTGTGGGGGGAGGGGGCTATGGAGGATATGAAGGTCTCTAAAGACTTTGAAAAGATATAGTTGCAACAGGTTACACCATTTAAAAATTAAAATTAAAAGGATGGAAGGTGTTTTCTTTTATAAAAGTAGATGTAAAATTAAACTAAATAGTATTTCATTTACTGTGTTTCATAAACAATTGCAACATTTTAAAATACTGTACACTATATTACCAAAAGTATTCGGCCGCCGGCCTTTCCACGCACATGAACATCAATGGCCTCTCAGTCTTATGTAGGCCATAGATGGGTCAAAAATCGGCCGTTTGAAAAAAAAAAAAAAAAAAAACGGTCGTTCAATCGGCCGACGTTACCACCAACGGTAAAAAAAAATCGGCTGATTTTCAGCCCGTCTACGGCCGGCATTTTTACTTCTGTCCCTTGCAGAGAGCTCTGCTATTATATTTTACATGAAAGTCTTGCGGTTGCAACAATGTATCCATTTGTATCCATTTCGGATACAGATGGTTTTATTCAGCTACAAATGGATACATTGTTACAACCACAAGACTTTTCATATAAAATATAATAGCGGACTGGAATTCTTCTTCTTCCTCTTCTTCTTCTTCTTCTTCCTCTTCCTCTTCCTTCTCCCTTCTTCTCCCTTCTTCTTCCTTCTTTTTCTCCCTTCTTCTTCCTTCTTCTTCTCTCTCTTCTTCTCCCTTCTTCTTCCTTCTTTTTTCTTCCTTCTACTTCTCCCTTCTTCTTCCTTCTTCTCCCTTCTTCTTCCTTCTTCTTCCTTCTTCTTCCTTCTTCTTCTTCCTTCTTCTTCTCCCTTCTTCTTCCTTTCTTCTTCCTTTCTTCTTCCTTTCTTCTTCTCCCTTCTTCTTCTCCCTTCTTCTTCCTTCTTCTTCTCCCTTCTTCTTCTTATTCTCATTCTTCTTCTCCCTCTTCTTCTCTCCACTTCTCTCTTCTTCTTCTTCTTCTTCTTCTTCTCTCTTCTCTCTTCTTATTCTTCTTTCTCTTCTCCCTTCTTCTTCTTCTACTTCTTTCTTTTCCCTTTTTCTTCTTCTTCTCCCTTTTTCTTCTTCTTCTACTTCTTCTTCTCCCTTATTCTTCTTCTCCCTTCTTCTTCTTCTCCCTTCTTCTTCTCCCTTCTTCTCCCTTCTTCTTCTTCTTCTCCCTTCTTCTTCTTCTTCTCCCTTCTTCTTCTTCTCCCTTCTTCTCCCTTCTTCTTCTTTTCCCTTCTACTTCTTCTCCCTTCTTCCTCTTCTTCTTCTCCCTTCTTCTTCTTCTCCCTGCTTCTCCCTTCTTCTTCTTCTCCCTTCTACTTCTTGTCCCTTCTTCTTCTTCTTCTCCCTTCTTCTTCTTCTCCCTTCTGCTTCTTCTCCCTTCTGCTTCTTCTTCTTCTACTTCTTCTCCCTTGTTCTTCTTCTTCTCCCATCATTGCCGGGAAAATCGGCCGATCGTCAAAATCGGCCCTCAATTTTTCAAACTTTACCGATAAAACAAAATGTGCCAAAACCCCAAAAAATGTCCGACCAATTAACCCACTACTAACGGTGCAAAAATCGGCTGATTTTTGACCCGTCTTTGGCCTGCATTAGTCCGTAGGGTTCAATATTGAGTTGGCCCCGCCCTTCCCACACACATGACCTTTAATGGCCCCCCAGTCTTAGTCCGTAGGGTTCAATATTGAGTTGGCCCCGCCCTTCCCACACACATGACCTTTAATGGCCCCCCAGTATTAGTCTGTAGGGTTCAATATTGAGTTGGCCCCGCCCTTTGCAGCTATAACAGCTTCAACTCTTCTGGGAAGGCCATCCACAAGGTTTAGGAGGGTGTCTATGGGAAGGTTGGACCATTCTTCCAGAAGCACATTTGTCAGGTCAGGCACTGATGTCGGGGGAGGAGGCCTGGCTCACAGTCTCCGCTCTAATTCATTCCAAAGGTGTTCTATGGGGTTGAGGTCAGGACTCTGTGCAGGACAGTCAAGTTCCTCCACCCCAAACTGGCTCCTCCATGTCTTTATGGACCTTGCTTTGTGCAATTGTGTGCAGTCATGTTGGAACAGGAAGGGGCCATCCCCAAACTCTTCCCACAAAGTTGGGAGCATGAAATTGTCCAAAATGTCGCCTTAAGAATTCCCTTCACTTCCCTTCCCTTCACCCCACACCATAATCCCTCCTCCACCAAACTTTACACTTAGCACAATGCAGTCAGGCAAGTACTGTTCTCCTGGCAACCACCAAACCCAGACACTCACTGGTAGGGGCCCCAGTGCATTACTTTTCCCAGGGGCCCATGATGCTTTTAAGATAGTCCTGCCTGTAAAATAATAATAATTTTAGACCCAGTTATCATTAAGTCTTTGTACTTCTCTAAGTAAAGCATGGCTGGTGGGAGGAGCCAGTAGGGGGCTGTACATAGTTTCCTGTAGACGTCACGGCAACCTGCCTCAGTACTCCATTCACAATCCGTCAGCACTGATGCAAGCAGTGGGCTGGTTCTTGGGAGGAGTTATGCAAATATTGCAATCCCTTGATGGGTAGGTGTCAGTCTAGAGGAGTGGGCGTTCCTAGGCAGGCCTTGGTAATGTCCAATCGATGATGGTAAGCTTACATGATTGAAAGAACTGTAATCCAATAAATTAAAGGGGCGGGACAAGAGCAGCCAGGTTTGGGAGCAGGGCCAGGACAAGGAAGGGGGTGGAAGGGACAAAAGCCTTGCATGTAAGAATTTACTGGAGGGGCGGAGGGGTCACAGGTGAACTGCAGACTCACAGTTTAGAGGAAAGGGCTGGATGACCATAGGGTGTCAGGAACTGAGGTGGGGCTCAATGGCCTCTAATGCACATGGTGAGAAGCTCACAGTGTGCAATGACATCAGAGTAAGCCATTTCAGTCCAGGAGAGGAGCACCTGTGCAAGACTGAAGGGGAGGAGCTGATACACCTGTGCAAAACTGAAGGGGAGGAGCCGATACACCTGTGCAAGACTGAAGGGGAGGAGCCGGTACACCTGTGCAAGACTGAAGGGGAGGAGCCGGTACACCTGTGCAAGACTGAAGGGGAGGAGCAGGTATACCTGTGCAAGATTGAAGGGGAGGAGCCAGTACACCTGTACAAGACTGAAGGGGAGGAGCAGGTACAGCTGTACAAGACTGAAGGGGAGGAGCCGGTACACCTGTGCAAAACTGAAGGGGAGGAGCCGGTACACCTGTGCAAGACTGTAGGGGGGAGCCGGTACACCTGTGCAAGACTGAAGGGAAGGAGCCGGTACACCTGTGCAAGACTGAAGGGGAGGAGCCGGTAAACCTGTGCAAGACTGAAGGGGAGGAGCTGATACACCTGTGCAAGACTGAATGGGAGGAGCCAGTACACCTGCACAAGACTGAGGGGGAGGAGCCGGTACACCTGTGCAAGACTGAAGGGGAGGAGCCGATACACCTGTGCAAGACTGAAGGGGAGGAGCTGATACACCTGTACAAGACTGAAGGGGAGGAGCTGATACACCTGTGCAAGACTGAAGGGGAGGAGCTGATACACCTGTGCAAGACTGAAGGGGAGGAGCCGGTACAACTGTGCAAGACTGAAGGGGAGGCCGGAGGTCATATTTATTCTATTTATTTGACTTTTGTCTGCACTTGATGAAGTGTCTTTCTGTTCAGACCATAGTTCTCCCGCGGCCCCCCGAAGGACGAATAGCTCTGCATTAATCACCAATAATAACGATGATGATAATTGAAGTGTGTATTTATCGGTTCGGCCGGCGTCGCCTTGATGAGCCGTATTGGAGTGCGTCTGCGCCGAGGCGTCCCCCCGGGGAGTCGTACAACAAGCAAAGACCAAATTAAGGCAGAAGATTACTTAGAGGCAATGAGGCTCGGCGCAAGTAGTATCCCGATTGCCATGTGCTGACGCGGCTGATGTAGCGTGAATTCTACGGGGAAATGATGTCCTCAAAAGAATGACACATGGAGCAAACTCTTCCACCGCATTTAAAACCGCCTACTTAACTCTACTTATGCGCGGCCAGAAAAAAATAAAATAAATAAAAGACAAGATACTGGATTTGTTCCCCGGACTCGATGACTCGCGGGATGGAAACGAGGTTGATGAACTCGCCGTCGTGATGGTTATTAACAAGTTGATTAACTCCCGCCTCCTATTCTTTCCGGGTAAGCACGCGCGGCGGCCATTAAACGCGCTCCGAGATCTATCGCCCCATTCTTGTTAAACAGGGTAGATCCTTCAGCGCGGAAGGCTGACGGGAACGCCATTTAACTAGGTGGCAAAGACGATAATTCTCTCCCTTTATTATGATTGCGGAAAATATCCACCAGTCAACTAATTGGATTAACGTCCGGGGGGGGGGGGGTTGAGGCGCTGAGAGGGAACGGGGATATTTGGCGGTCGCGCTCTAAATCCGAGCGTGCGATACGAGGCGTGCAGATGGAGTTTAGTGACGGTGGAGGAGAAGGAAGGAAGAGATTTTAATGAATAATTGTTCTACATTGGAGGACGGGGAGAGCTGATAGGCTGGATTTTTTGGAAAGTGCGAAGACGGTCGATAAAAAGGGAGCTCATTTTAGGGTCGCGTAGTAAGGTTTGGGGTCTAGACAGGGGCGGACTGACAACTCATGGGGCCCCCGGGCAGTAGGGGATCATGGGGCCCCTGTGTCCTTGCCCAAGCAGGTGATGGTAGAGGGTGATGGTGAATGATGATGGCGGGCGATGGTAGATAATAATGAGAAATGGTGGGCGATTGTAGATAATGATGGGTAGTGGTAGAGGGTGATGGTGAATGATGTGGAATGATGGTGAATGATGATGGTGGGCAATGGTAGATAATGATGGGTAGTGGTAGAGGGTGATGGTGAATGATGATGGAGGATGATGGTGAATGATGATGGAGGGTGATGGTAGATGATGAGAGATGGTGGGCGATGGTAGATAATGATGAGAGATGGTGGGCGATGGTAGATAATGATGAGGATGGTGGGCGATGGTAATGATGAGAGATGACAGGCGATGGTAGATAATGATGAGAGATGACGGGCGATGGAGATAATGATGGGTATGGTAGATATGATGAATGATGATGGAGGGCGATGGTAGATAATGATGAGAGATGGAGGGCGATGGTAGATAATGTTGAGAGATGGAGGGCGATGGTAGATAATGATGAGAGATGGAGGGCGATGGTAGATAATGATGAGAGATGAGGGCGATGGTAGATAATGATGGGTAGTGGTGGAGGGTGATGGTAGAATGATGATGGAGGGCGATGGTAGATAATGATGAGAGATGACAGGCGATGGTAGATAATGGAGAGATGACGGGCGATGGTAGATAATGATGGGTAGTGGTAGAGGGTGATGGTGAATGATGATGGAGGGCGATGGTAGATAATGTTGAGAGATGGTGGGTGATGGTAGATGATGATGATAGATGGTGGGTGATGGTAGATGATGATGATAGATGGTGGGTGATGGTAGATAATGATGAGAGATGGAGGGTGAATGATGATGGTGGGTGATGGTAAATGATGATGGAGGGTGATGGTAGATAAAGTTGAGAGATGGTGGGCGATGGTAGATGATGATGATAGATGGAGGGTGATGGTGAATGATGATGGTGGGAGATGGTGAATGATGATGGAGGGCGATGGTAGATGATGATGATAGATGGTGGGCGATGGTAGATAATGATGAGAGATGGAGGGTGAATGATGATGGTGGGTGATGGTAAATGATGATGGAGGGGGCAATGGTAGATAATGATGAGAGATGGAGGGTGATGGTGAATGATGATGGTGGGAGATGGTGAATGATGATGGAGGGCGATGGTAGATGATGATGATAGATGGTGGGCGATGGTAGATAATGATGAGAGATGGAGGGTGAATGATGATGGTGGGTGATGGTAGATAAAGATGAGAGATGGCGGGTGATGGTAGATAATGTTGAGAGATGGTGGGCGATGGTAGATAATGTTGAGAGATGGCGGGCGATGGTAGATGATGATGATAGATGGTGACCGATAGTAGATAATGATGAGAGATGGAGGGTGATGGTGAATGATGATGGTGGGAGATGGTGAATGATGATGGAGGGCGATGGTAGATAATGATGAGAGATGGCGGGCGATGGTAGATAATGATGAGAGATGGCGGGCGATGGTTGATAATGATGAGAGATGAAGGGCGATGGTAGATAATGATGAGAGATGGTGGGGCGATGGTAGATAATGATGGGAGATGTTGGGCGATGGTAGATAATGATGGGAGATGTTGGGCGATGGTAGATAATGATGGGTCGTGGTAGGTGATGGTAGATAATGAAGGGTGATGGTAGGGGGAGGTGGTGGGTGATGGTAGATAATGATAGGATAGGAGGGTGGTAGGTGATGGTAGATAATGATGGGAGGTGGTAGGTGATGGTAGATAATGATGGGAGGTGGTAGGTGATGGAAGATAATGATGGGCGATGGTAGGGGGGGGTGGTGAGTGATGGTAGATGATGATGGGCGATGGTAGGGGAGGTGGTGATGATGGGTAGATGATGATGGGCGATGGTAGGTAGATAATGATGACAGGGGGATGGAGGTGATGATGGACGATGGGCGGTTGATGGTAGATGATGGTATGGTGATGATGATGGGTGATGGAGGGGGATGGTAGATGATGATGAGAGATGGTGGTAGGTGGAGGTGGTAGATGATGATGAGTGATGGTAGGGTGATGGTAGATAATGATGGGAGGTGGTAGGTGATGGTAGATAATGATGGGAGATGGTAGGTGATGGTAGATAATGATGGGAGATGGGGGTAGATGATGGTAGATAATGATGGATGATGGCGGGGGGATGGTAGATAATGATGGGAGGTGGTAGGTGATGGAAGATAATGATGGGCGATGGTAGGGGGAGGTGGTAGATGATGATGAGGGTGGTGGTGGGCGATGGGTAGATAATGATGGGAGATGGTAGGGCGATGGTAATGGTGATGGGAGATGGTGGATGGAGATGGTAGATGGTAGATGATGATGGGTGATGGTAGGGGAGGTGGTAGATAATGATGGGTGGTGGTAGGTGATGGTAGATAAGATGGGTGGTGGTTGGTGATGGTAGGTGATGGGGGAGGTGGTAGGTGGGTGGTAGATAGTGATTGGGATGGTGGTGGTGATGGTAGATATGTGATGGGTGGTGGTAGGGGGATGTGGTAGATGATGATGGGTGGTGGTGGTGGTGATGGTAGATAGTGATGGGTGGTGGTAGGGGGATGGGTAGGTGATGATGGTAGATGTGGGGTTGGTGATGGTAGATGGGATGGTGGTGGTTGGTGATGGTAGATATAAGTGATGATGGGTGGTTGGTGATGGTAGATAGGGATGGGTGGTGGTGAGGGAGGTGGTAGATGATGATGGGTGGTGGTTGGTGGATGGTGATAGTGATGGGTGGTGGTAGGGGGAGGTGGTAGTGATGATGGTTGTGGTGGTGGTGATGGTAGATGATGGGTGGTGGTAGGGGGAGGAGTGGTAGATGATGATGGGTGGTGGTAGGGGGAGGTGGTAGATGATGATGGGGTGGTGGTGGGGGAGGTTTGGGGATGATGATGGGTGGTGGTTGGTGATGGTAGATAGTGATGGGTGGTGGTTGGTGGTATGGTAGATAATGGGGAGGTGGTTGGTGATGGTAGATAGTTATGGGTGGGGTAGGGGGAGGGTGGTAGATGATGATGGGTGGGGTTGGTGATGGTAGATGTGATGGGGGTGGTTGGTGATGGTAGATGGATGATGGGTGGGGTTGGTGGATGGTAGATTGGTTGATGGGGGGGTGGTTGGTGGGTAGGTGATGATGGGTGGTGGTTGGTGTGGGTGGTAGATGGTAGATGATTTGGTGGGGAGGTGGTTGGTGATGGTGGATGTGATGGGGGTGGTGGGTGGATGGTAGATGATGATGGGTGGTGGTAGGGGGAGGTGGTAGATGATGATGGGTGGTGGTTGGTGATGGTAGATAGTGGTATGGGTGGTGGTGGTGATGGTAGGTGATGGGTGGTGGTTGGTGATGGTAGGTGTGATGGGTGGTGGTTGGTGATGGTGATGATGATGGGTGTGTGGTGGTGATGGTAGATAGTGATGGGTGGTGGTAGGGGGAGGTGGTAGATGATGATGGGTGGTGGTTGGTGATGGTAGATAGTGATGGGTGGTGGTTGGTGATGGTAGATGATTGATGGGTGGTGGTTGGTGATGGTAGATTGTGGGTGGGTGGTGGTTGGTGATGGTAGATGATGATGGGTGGTGGTTGGTGATGGTAGATAGGGATGGGTGGTGGTTGGTGATGGTAGATAGTGATGGGTGGTGGTTGGTGATGGTAGATGTTGATGGGTGGTGGTTGGGTGGTTTGGTGATGGTATGGTAGTGTGGGGGTGGTGGTGAGGGGGGTGGTTTGGTGAGGTGGTAGTGATGATGGGTGGTGGTTGGTGATGGGTAGATAGTGATGGGGGGGGGGGTGGTTGGGGGAGGTGGTAGATGATGATGGGTGGTGGTTGGTGATGGTAGATAGTGATGGGTGGTGGTTGGTGATGGGATG